TGTCAAATTAGGCCATCAACGGCGTGGACGAGATATAATATCACCTACAAAGCGTCAAGAGTGCTGCACAGCGGCTCTCAGTTCTACCACGTGGTTTTGAAAATGACCGTTTGGGTGAAGAACATGAGAAGGCTTCAAGCCTTTGACCAGCCTTTTTTTCGTAGCATCGGCCGTGTGTCACGGAATCACCACCTCAGTAACGCAGGTGTCAGGCGTAGAATTAGTGTAAGATGTGCGTCAGTTATCGACAAGGATGAAGGTGAGTGACAATAGCGCAAATGTTTTCAATCCCTGGAATCTTTTAAAGTTTGAACATTTTCTCTAACCTTCAACTTTGAACTCCTCCTCCTTCTACACATTTTCACCTGCTTCAATATCACTCTTTTTCTATACACTAGCTCTCTACATGCTGCTGTGAAGCGTGGCAACTTGAATCGAAGCAATTCTGTGCCAGATTCTACGTTGATCTGTTTGTCTACCCTGTTCACTTGATGAGTTTGTGACTCTTCTTCAGCTCAGGTGACTGGGGCATGCAAAATGGGGTTACACTACAAGGCTGTAGAAATTCACGAATTCTCCGACTGTTGGTTCTAGCCATATATGGACATGGAGACTTTCTGGTTGTGGCCAACGCGACAAGAGAAATCCGTGGTTAGAGACTCCAAGGGATATGGCTCAGAATCGATCTCAATGGTACAAATGCCCTCACACAATGTCTTCATCTTAATCGTCATTTGGTTTACTCTCTCTCTCATCTTATGACTTAATACTTTTCGTTACACTTTCTTCTCCTTTACTCTATAGTTCACCTTGATGCTTCCCACTTCAACGTGATGTGAATTTTGGTCGCATCACATGTTGAAATTGACAGACTGTCTGGATGATATGATAGTCTGGAAATTTTCACTCTCGTCGTCTGACGATGATCCATCTGAAATCAGATTTTGAATAGCGTGTAATAATACGCAGCATCCGGAGGTCAAAACACCAATGGCTCAAAGTTGCCATTATGTTGTTGAATCACTAGATAAGTACTCCGACCTTGGTACTTTCCAGCTTTACCTGGTTAGTAACTGAGTCTAATTTCAAAGTCATAAGATGATTAAGTGCTTACGACAAATGCATTAAGAACTATTATTAGTAAACAAGAAGCGAATCTCTCCAACAAATTAACTTTGAGCTGTAAGAATCTATAAGACCAGTTTGCAGACATTGTAAGAGAATTTTCAGTAGTTTGGTGCCAACAATAAGAATGTATATTGCTACTTAATGAGTACGCAGTTTCCTCGTAGTTAAAATCATTGAAATATACTCATGACAACGTCAATTATCCGTCAGTTTTTGTGGATTTACTAACCTATTCACAAGCTAATCCAACGAAATCATTTCAAGAATAGGGTTTCTTTGTTTCCAGAATTATATCCATTTTACAGTTCTTCAGATTGATTTATGCACAAGTGATTCAATCTTTCTGAATAAGCCAATGCAAAACCGGAGTGCCTTCTTCAAAAGTGCACTTCTACATTATCTTGTCTTTTCTAAAAATGGAAATTCTGATTAGAATCCAGTCAGAACTTAGAACCAGATAGCATTTCTTGACTACTCTCAAGTGGTCAGTTAATGCATTTAACGTAGTTCTGTAGGAGGTCAATTGGTGTTCCAATAACTCAGTGGTGCACATTCGGATGTCTGTCGAGGCATAAGTTTCCTCAAGGATACAACTTCGCCTTGGGGGCAAATTCTAATAAGCAGGAAACATTCGTCTGGCATGGCTTCCTACATGCAACTACCTTGCGTCTTTCCATGCTGGTGATACTTTTCGGAAATAGTGACAAGTTCAAACCCATTCTTAACTTATCCATTCACTTTTTTGCCTTCGGTCGCCGAGTGCTACAGCAATATATCTTCACCTACTGGAGACAAATAGCGAGCCTACCTTAATTTGACACTTAGCTCAGTTACCGAAACATCACCAAAAGTAATACATGTGGGCCATTCACTTAGTACAAAATGTCAACGGTTGAAAGCAATCAATTAATCCCCAGAGCTTGACTACTATTATTCACCAGTAGGGCAAGATCAAGATGGAGTTAACAAAAATATGCTTCTCAAAATAATGAATTTGGATTCTAAGTAGCACACTAGAAAATCAAGAACTGTAGTAGTGATTACTAATTTACTATCCTCTTGCAAATTTATGATAATTCATACGTTTATTAAATTGGTATGGAGCAAATGTAGATGGCAATCTATTAAATTATGAGAATCCGCGTGGGACGAATAGTAATTATCTCGTCCCGATACCAGTAGTTCGCCGTTATGCATTCTCTTGGCGTAAAATTGGCAACTTCTAAGTTATCCAACAGACAAATCAGAATTTGAACCACTTATCCCAGCCAAAAGTGGTATTTTTAAACCCGAATCAACCGTTATGTCACCAGTAAATAATCTGTACCGCGCAAAGTGCTACCGCTACCTATTCAGAACGCCTGCCGCTTACCAAGCCTCGACTATGGAAGTCATAATCAGTTCAACATATCTGGCTCTCTATGTTATTTTAGATAAAAATAAATTCCCGTGTTTCTGACTTTCATTATCCGTTGTTGGTGTTTTCTATGATTTTTAAGAACACTACTATTTAGCTAGACAACCGTGCTGAAAACCAAGATCTTTTACCTGATCAACATCTTTATAATTCACACCATGCTGATATTTTTATGCTCGAGCGAGTCACCTGACTGGTAGAAATATAAAGTCCTGCCATTCTTGGGTGATCAAGTTACACCAAACAAGAGTATGTGCATTTTCATTTATGACCTTATTAAATTTAACCGATTTGATTAGCTTTTTATATTACAGAAGCCGCTCTAACTTTTGACCTGGTTTCTGAATTCAAAGTACATGTCAAATAATTATCTTTCTTTAACATATGCGGGCTATTGTCAAAAGTTTCGTTAGTGACTGAGAATGTAATCGGTCACAGCTACGTTGTCTTAGATACCTACAATTCCGCTCCTCATCACTATGAATTCTTGTCTTCCAAGTAGAGTAATTACCACTTACTGAGAGTTATAGCGATTCCCGTATGACTTAACATCTCATGTATCTGCATCTGAACACGTGGAAAATGGCAATGCTAAAATAAGTTAGCGCTTGTTTCTTAAGGCCATTACGCCAGTTGAACGACTACAATCCTATCCTCATTGTGATCAATCGTTTCAAGAACAGCAGAATTGTATACTACTGGTGGTTTGTACCACTGATAAAGCAAATATACAGCATTCTTCGGCTTTCAATAGCCGTCTAACTGAAATTCTTGATCCTCAGATACGGGATAAGTGTCATATTATATTCGCTTATTTCATATACGATACCGTGACAGATTATTATTCATTATCAAGTGAATAATACTATAATCACTGTGCTACGTCAAATAGACAACTCTTAAACAGAATTATATGCCAATGCGGTGCTCAAGTTTTACACTTATATTCATAGGATTAGTTCTTTGTCGACAAGCTGTTCTTCAGTGATAACTATCTGAAAGACGTTATCAATTCAAACTCAACTGTGATGCAATTTATTCATTTTTGTCAGTCTTTGCTTTCTGTACAGTTGTGGAGAATTGTAACGACTAAACCGATGCACAATGTTGCAGTCCTGTTTTTTTTGTGCTTATCATTCAACTCAAAATAGTACCTTAAAATTAATCAAACCCAACAAACCCCTAAACAGAAATACTATCCAGTGCTCATTGATGACATGCTTCTAGATGAGATGTCCGAATGAAAAGTAGTGACCTCTGGTGTAAACTAAGTCTGACGTAAGGACAAATACTCAACGATGGCATGGCATGATGGTCAAGCTATATCTCCAATTGATAGAAGTAAGAGGATGTGGACCATTGAGTTCCAATTCAGTGGTAACGTGCTCACCGCAGAACCTGAAGGTCCTGGTTCCCTAACGGGATTAAGGTTGAGTACTTCTAAAGAGTTTTATACTGCGACGGAACATCTGTGTAGTGCTACCAGGTTCACAATGGATTAAAAACTGAATACCACTTCACTTAGGTTAATGTCAGCACATGACTACTTAAACCTTGGTAACTGACAACCCGTAATTTACTGGTCGAAAGCTGAAAACCAAGACTCATGAGTCAAGGCTCCACGGGGTCACTGTAGATATCACTACTCTTTCCTGAACAACCGGCTTGTCAAGAAGTGAAAAATTTCTAATCCTTACACTTCACCTTGAAATTAAACTAATACAATCTCAAGAGTTGTTGCGTTTATTGCTGAAAAATAATATCATCAGTTTTACTTATTAAAGTTGAGAAGCCATTCACAACCTGTGGTTACGCTTGATTGAAAAGTTTAACTACTTAGTCGACTATTTCTTAGAAAGTAGTGAGGGAGATGGTAATGCACCTCCAGTTAAAAAGTGACTCATACAAACCAGTTTATGGCCATAATACTTTACCAATCATAAGCCTTTGTTCAAAGATTACTCGACGAAACTAACATGTTATAAGAGTATATTTTAACATAATTTCAGCGTGGATGTTTATTTGCTTGGATTAAACTATAAAAAATATTGCATTTTCGAGATGAATGGGGATTTTAATTTAGACGTAGTATTCACCATGGACTGATATCAGTTGGGGAACCATTGAAAATCTGGGAGCACTGGACATCTGTTTCATGAAACCTGAAGGTCCTGAGTTCGATCCCTAGCCGGGTCGTGGGTGCGTACTGCTGAGGAGTCCCATACTAGGACGAAACAGCTGTACAGTGCTCCCATATTTTCAATGGTCCCCCAACTGATGTCAGTCCATGATGAATACTACCTCTAAATATAAAAAAATGTTTACTAAATTAAAACACTGATAAACATACGGAATATTTTATTGGTGAAAAAGGTGATAAGAGTTTGATATTTATTACTCTACGGTCCAAATGAACTATGCAATGCCATAAAATATTCTTAAGATCCTTTTTCACTCAACGGCTAACGAATTGAGCAGCTTCTTCATCGTCTTTCAATTTTTTAAATGAACGGTTAACGCCAACCGGATTAACTGGAACAAAATACCAACCACGGTAGTCACCATATTCAAGTTGAGATTTACGGAACCATATTTGCTCTTCCCTAGGATAAAGAAGTATGCACAAACATGATGAGTAGGTAAAACGTTATTGCCCACATTCTGAAACCAAGCCCAAAGTACTACCAATTTATATGGTACAACACGCAATACTTACCTAGGCAACCGGGTAGTAATAAGATTGGCTCATAACCTAGTGTGAAAAAATGCACCAGATTGAGCTGCATTAAAGTGAATTAGGTGATAAAAGTAGCGTTCCTGATTGTCTATCCAAAAGTTTTCGAATTCAAATTGCACTCACTTCAGATCCATTTCTCTTGTCGTTATTAGTCATAACACGGATTGGCTATAATATTCACACTGAAAGATATGCCACTTCTTTCTCTCGAACCACTGATCTCTTAAAATGCATTCACAAAGCTGTAATGCGTCGACGCAAACTAACCAAAGGCTACCTGCCTTCATTTTCGAATCGTACGTTGACAACTCCTTTATTCCTTTCAGTTAGTGCCAGTGTAAATAAACAGTAAAAAGTATGGAAGTTACTCAAGTTATTCAGGACACAACTTACCGAAAAGTAGTTTATTGGGTATAAGAATTGAATTGAAACGTAAAAACTTCATAAATAACTATCCACTTATCTTCTTGACATACTTGCGAACAGCCAGACCCTGATGAACAAACAACTGTCCGGAAAGATACTTGGGTTTAGCGTTTGAAATGTACACCAACTGGGAAGCTGTTAGTAGTAAATATTAAAACTACGGATTCTAACTGATTACTTCTTTTTCCACTCTAATACAGGTACTAAACACAGAAGTTGGTGTTACACAATTTCCGTAACACTGAAACAAATTCCACTGAACGACAGAATTAAGTGGTGCTGCCATCGAATGTCAACAACCATACGAAGACAAACAATTGGACACAAAGCACTTTTAAACATCTGCACTTTCGACTGATAAGGCTGCAAATAGCTAAGAGTTTGATGGTGTGAAGTACATAACCAACCAGCAAATAGTCACTGTTGAGCAATCTGTACGCAACAACATGATGATAGAAACATAAAATCAATGTAGAACCTCGCACAGAAGTGCATCAGTTTAAGTTGCCACACTTTACTGAAGCCGGTAAACAACAAGTGGGTAGAAAAGGAATGATATCGAAGTAGAAAAAAGTGTATGGAAAGAATTTGAAAAAGCAGGTTTGTAGAACTTTGGAAGATATCAAGAAGTGAATACATTTGCGCCAGACTGACTTCCAGTCACGTTACCAAGGTTCTCAAACCATTGATTTCCATTGTCTTGAAATCACCAACAAGACCCCACGCGGCTCACATCAACAGTCGGAGATTGCATGGACTGGTGCCACGTTTTGGTTTAGGCAACCTAACCCACCTTCCAACACAATCCTACTTGAGTTAATATTACAAGTCGATGTAGATGGTGGTTCGGCACACAAAAGACATTTCCAAGCCACTCCTAGTCGGTGAAGACTCATAATCTTACCGACTAACTTTCCTACTGCCCTTCACTTAACCTAGAAGTCCCTCACGGTTTTTTGTCACGTGTGAACAACGATGCAAAGATATATGTGGTCAAACAATATAATCTCTTCAGATCTACTTTCAGCGGTCTCGAGGTGGTATAATAGGAAAAAGAGGACTCCAGAGCAGCATACTCACCCTATGATAAATAGTAGAATACTTTGCCGGCCTCATAGGTGATACAGGTTAGAAAATGCTACAGGAGCCTTTTAATTCCCAGCTAAGATTTAGTCAGATATCAACCCCTTCAGGTTGATGCAACTTTTCAAGTAAGTCAAATGGTTAACGCACTGGGAAACTTCACTCCTAGTTTACAAGCAGGGATATCACTTTCGCAACATAATCTTACATTTAAAAATGTGAAATGCACAAGTGACAAACAAACTCACATTTCTCCTTGAGGTATTCAAAAAACCCTACATTTTCTCAGCGTCTTCGCTTAATAGCAAAATATTGTCGGTCAACTCCAGGAAGCAGATCAATCCATGAAAAGTCAGGGGCAATACAGTTATACTCATCAATGCATTTATAACGAAGTTAAACAATAGAAATTGCAGGGAGCGCCGATGGCGAACACCACATTTTGTCGTCACTTCAAGTGACACCACCCATTGTAAGCCTTTACCTAGTTGCCTCAGTTTCAGTACAATACTCTGATTAGTATCACATACTTGCTTTGTACTTCCTTCAGCTACGAAATTCCAAAATACCTATCAATCTATAAAGTACAATGCTGCTTTCAGGTCAAGAAATATGGCGCATCGGTCAGCGGTAAGTCTCCAAGTGTTCCAAAAACTGTCTAGGGGCGAAGGGTTGATGCATACATTTTCATTCATGTCTGAAACCAATCTTATTTTTTCGACTTTGGAAAACGTCGAAGAAGTAGAGAGTCGATTGGTGATCGTTATGGAGACTAACATATAAGACTGGTTAGAAAGCAAAAATGAAATCAGGGAGGCTAGAAAAATACGAATAATCTTTGCATCAATGACTTCATTACAAGGTTGCATTATTTTATCAGCACTGAATGTGCTAACCATTATTATTCTAATCCTGGTAAATTATCACTGGTGGTCACATTGAAACTTGGTATTAGTTAGAAACAGATTGTAAATAATACAGAACACGGAAATACCATCCACTATATAACATACACCCTGGAGAGGCTAAAGGATGCACTGGATTCAAAACTACGACCGGAACAGGATGGCTGGCTGGCTGTCTTCAGGAAGTACAAATCATTTGTGGACCAAATTGCAACGCCACACTACCCATCATCATAGAACAGAGTATAGAATGGCAGTCAACTGGATCTCTACCTCAACTTCATCGACTTCGAGAAGCCCTTTGACAGCGTCGACCGAGAAGTAATTTCGAACCTGCTTCAACACTACGGAATACCGCGAACCGTTCTCAGCCTCATCCAACAACTATATAAAGACGCCACATACCGAGTAATTCATAATGGGAAGCTTAGTGATGCTTTTGAAGTGAAGACAGGAGTGAAACAAGGCTGTCTACTATCACCCACGATATTCCTGATTGTGGTCGACTGGACTGGATCATGCAACAAACAGTGAGGAGCGAGAAGAGAAGGATACGCTGGACTGCGGAAAAGAACCTAGAAGACTTGGATTTCGCTGATGACTTGTGTCTGATGTTGCACAAACTTGAAGATCTACAGGCGAAAACTAACAAGTTGGTAGAAGAGGCAGCGAAGACGGGACTTCCTTCAAGTGAACATAGAGAAGACAGAGGTGATGAAGATACCCAACCAACGACTCCAACAACAACAAACTCCAATCACCATCAACGGGAGAAACTTAAAGGAAGTAACCTCCTTCACCTCTCTACTCTAGGAAGCACTGTTTCAACTACAGGCAGCACAGGCGCTGACGAGGATATCAAAGTCAGAATCGGAAAAACAGCAAGACAGGCGTTCATTAGCCTGAAACCAGTGTAAAGATCTTCTGCACTCCACTCAGCATGTGGAACAACATCCGGATTTTCAACACCAACGTCAAGTCAGTGCTTCTGTATGGTTCAGAGACTTGGCGTGTCACGAAAGGGATTTCCAACAAACTACAGACATTCATCAACAACTGCCTACACTGGCTCCTTACTGAAGATCAGATGGCCAGAATAAGAAGAATAAGCAACAAGGAACTGTGGCTGACTGGTAACGAACCAACCAAGAACCTATCACTGAACAAATATGCACTGGAAGGAAGTGGAGATGGATTGGGCATGCACTGAGGACATCACGCGTCAGGTCCTCGAGTGGAATCCCCAGGGGAAGCGACGAGTTGGACGTCCGAGGGTGACATGGAGGAGGTCGTGCGAGGATGAAATGCGAGCTTCTGGGCTGTCGTGGAACCAGGTTCAAAAGATCTCAGAGAACAGAGGTCACTGGAGACGTGCTACTGAAGCCCTATGTTCCACTAGGAACCCAAGGGACTAATAATAATAATAAATAATACAACACACACACCCCACGTGTGTAATCGAAAATTTCAAAAAATCACAGCAGTTATGCATACAGCTTTGGTGAGCATCAAACTGCAAGGTGAAACTAGCGGGCATAAGAAGCATGATCAGGGTCCAGACAGTTGACGTTCAAAGAACGATTACTTCGGACACCGACATCACAAATGAATGTTTCGTATGCGTTTCTCGATATCCAAATTGTTACCACTGGACTGGTCTTTGCGGCAACCCGGTCAACAATAAGGGAATGAAGTAGTTGAGTACTTTGAATAATTCATACACCTGAGCGGTGTAAACAGTGCTGGGTCAAAGACCGACTGAATCTCTCCACCCCTGTTTCCCAATAGCCAGCCCGAACCTAAATGGCACTCAGTTATCGGTCCTTCAACTCTCCTCGAAGCTAAGGTTGTATCGAACCTGAAACGATTCAAAGTAGAAGGACATGACAGTTTGCCACCCGACGCTTGCAAATATGGAGGTAGTAAACTGGTAATCAAAGTGATGGAGGTACTAGGTAATGTACTTAAATCACAGGTAGTCCTGTCAAACTGGTCTACTTCACTGATCATTCAAGTGTACAATAAGGGAGAAAAGTCTTCCTGTGACAAACATAGGGGAATTAGTTTGGATTATATTGCATCCGAGATCCTAGGATCCATAGTTATCCGATGCCTAACTGGAGCTAGAGAACACCAAACTCGAGAAAATCAGACAGGTTTTAAACCTGGACGAGGATGCATTGACCATATTTTCACCCTCCGACAGGATCTGGAACACAGGCATACTTACTGGCGGCAGATACTTGCCATATTTCTCGACCTGCAGGTGGCATTTGACTCTGTCGTCTGTGGCAGTTTTTGACTGTGAAGGGACTACCCACAAAGTATATCACACTAATCAAAACTCCCTACCCAAACTCACACAGACAATATCAGAGTTTACGGAAAGTTGTCATGCGAATTGACGACAACCAGTGGAGTCCACCAGAGATGCCCACTTTCACCATTCCTAGTTAGCTTCGTCATAGACGTACTAATGGACATAACATCAGGTACGTCTAACTTCAAAGAGGCTATCTGGTTGGCATGGAGTATGCAGACGATATTGTTCTGCTGGGTGAAGATGCTGACAAAATGAAGGGGCTTCTGGACGCGTTGAGCAGAAATCTGAGTATCTTCAGTATGAGTTTCACTGGCATCTGTCAAATGTAAGATGATCCTCTAGGACTACCCTGCAACCAATCCCAGTTTAAAGAAGGACAGGGAGTGGAGTGGTGGGATGTGTCGACCACTTCACTTACTTAGTGAGCTGCGTCAACCCACCGAATGGGCTTTTTGCTGACGAAATCTCAGCTCAGATAGAGAAGGCCTGTTCAGTGTTCGCCAACTTGTGTCATCTGTGACGCCGACTGGTGAGATATCCGACTATCTATCAAAAGACAAGTACACTCTACTGCATTCCGTTGTTATGTTGTACGCCTGTGACACGATCGCTACGAGTAGGATACGCGATTAATGGGTTCCGATCATAGATGTCGTTGTAGCAGTGTAGAAGTCGGGCGAAGAGTACTAGGCGAGACAATTATGTCGACTGATATGATCGTGAACTTTAGTCGACTGAGATGGCTCGGACAGGTACTGAACGTGCCGAGTCACTGCCTATCTCGACATGCCATGCTGGAGAAAGTTGGATTATGTTGGAAGAAAGTTTAGTATGGCCAGACTACGACTTGGCACCAATCGATGAAGCCTGTTACTGTTGATCTGAGCTGTGTTGAGTGATGCAGAGTGCCTGGTTGGGGTTCTCGAGACGAAAAAAGTCAGTGGTTGAGAACTCTTGGTGACGGCTTGAAACCGGTCACAATGGCACAGATATATTCACTCCTTGACATCTTAAGCATGAATATTCGCATTAACCTTCATCTTCAGATGTATTCTAACGCACAACTTTGTCTACTTTCATGTCAGTTTTTAAATCTATCTGTTCTTCGAGTACTTACTCTGAAGTGTGGCGACCTGAACCGATGCACTTATATCGAGGTTCCACGTTGATTCTGTCTGTCTGGCCAGGGCAATACATAAGTACAATCCTAGAGCGAAAATTTGCATTTGGGCGGTGGAAAACTAATTTTGAACCTTGGCTCTTGGCTACATAAGGCGCCCAAAAGTCTTTATATATTATCAGCGTCAACAGGTCCTGTGATTAGATCAAACCCCGTGAAGTCAGATGACGAGACCTGCAAAAGTACGCCTGTATTAAAACTAGATACAAATGGAGAGAGTTGGCATTCGTGATGGACACCAGTCAATATACACAGCCCACCAGAACTCACTGGAGGCTCTGACATGCCCACGTGTGTTCAGGTATACTATGATGAAACATCTCGATAGACAGAGTAGAATGCCACATTCAGGTCGAGAAATCCAGCTTAGATAGAGTCTCGGTAAGTGTGCCTACGAATTGCAACTTGGCGGAGAGCGAAAATATGGTCAATAAACACACGAATAGGTCTGAAAGCTACCCAGTCTTCTCGGGTTTTCTGTTCCTGATGTACAGCTAGACATAATTGGAGAACTTTGAATCCTAGAGGCTGTTAGCTAAACTGATTTCTCTGTTTTTCACATGACGACCTCGCCTTTCTTGAAGACTGGGACAATCAGTAATTGAGACATGGGAGGATCATATCTGACTCGCAAACAACAGTTAACACTCCAGTCAATCTGGTCGATAATCTTCGAACAGCATTATTGCATACCTCGGATAGTAGTGTTCGTCTGAGCCTGTTTCCCTTCTTCGTTTCAGTTTACATACAGTCTTCACAACTGGTCGCTGCTGAGAATTCGGCCGCGATCCAAATTTTTATTTCACATTCAATCATCATTTATTACCAATACTAGTCTGCAAACTACGGCTCTCTCGGTCACTAACCTACCGTAAGTGTGAAGACAGAAGAAAAAACGTACAAAACCACTTAATTTCAGTGTCAGAACTGCTCGTGAGCACAGCTGCGAGGCTTACTTTTCCTAATGATCACCATATCCTGAAACACTGCTCTTTTTGTGGGCTTATGACACTCGTATGTTATTTAGTCATATCAAGCGACCAGTACGCCTATATCACACATGTACGAAGATGATTGAGATTGCTTTACGTGCAGTGACTTAACTTTAAGTTGTTAAGATAGGGTAGTAATGGTCAGAGAGTGCTGTGTCTTGGTTTAACATAAACGTTCGCCTAACAATTCACATGAAACAAAACACCAGCTACTTACTTCGCTTTTTTTGCAGCGCGTATTTCTTCATAACATCCCACAGTTGTTTCATATACCTTTTGAGGGTGCATGTGAAGATATTTAGCAATGAAGCGAGTAATTGGATGCTGAGTAAATGTATACAAAATCTGACACCTACCTTGTGATACTCCCAGTGACGTGGTTCATAATCTTCAGGTATATCTGTTAACTCCGCTGGTCCGACAAACACATTGACCAGAAAAGCAAGTAGAAGTACAGGAACAAGACCTAGCATAAGGTAGAAATGCTAGGAATGAGTTTCGTAAACATGGGCGCTACTTACCATTTGATCGCCGAGCTTTTCATAAGCCTTTGAGACGTTTTAGGCATTTCCTTCTGGCCACTAGAATTTCTGGAAAAAAGCGGAAAACCTGATTGTCGTAAACCGAAAGTGGGCACTACCTACATTGCATGGACGCATTATTCCTGGGAGAAACAGTAATTGGAGGACAGAGTCTCACTGTGGCAATTCCTCTCAAGAAGAGAAATTCTTGATTCATATGCTTTGCACAGAACAGAGTAGCGCTGCGAAGAACGTGGTACATTGCCTGCAGCCGCTAAGCTTGCAGACGTTGTGGACCTTGAGAAAGTGAATCTCCCACCTAGCTATCCAATATCCAATATCTTTTTACGAGCTTGTGTAAGCCAATTAGTCTCTTCGCCCTAGCTCCCACGGCTTACGGAACAGTTCCACGTCTTTAGTTGATTTCAGTGCAGTAGGTTTACCCACTCTTCTGCACTCAGCATAAAGAACAAGATCCGGATTTTCAAAACCAACGTCAAGTCAGTGCTTCTGTATGGCTCAGAGACTTGGCGTGTTACGAAAGGCATTTCCAACAGACTACAGACGTTATCAACAACTGTCTACGCTCGTTAATAAAGCTCAGATGGCCAGGAATAATAAGCAACAAGGAACTTTGGTCGGGCAACGAACCAACCAAGAATCAATCACTCAACAAATATGCAGAAGAATTTGGAGATAGATTGGGCAAGACTGAGAAGGCCGGCTGGAGACATCGCGCGTTAGGCAGGCACTCGAGTGGAACCGAGATGGGGAGCAACGAGTTGGGCGTCCCAGCTGAGGGTGACTTGGAGGAGACGGTGTGAGGAAGAAATAAGAGCTTCTAGGCTGTCGTGGAGCCAGGTTCAAAAGTTTGCAGAGAACAGAATGCACTAGAGACGTGATACTGTAGCTCTATATTCCACTAGGAACCCAAGGGACAAATAGTAATGTAAAGGTCTACCCACTTGCCTGCTGTAGCTCTGGATAGCTCGACGGGCGGTTGGGCGATGATTTAATTTGTATGGATTGTGTGGCTTTTTAGGGCTGTTGTGTAGATGGGTTTCTCAAACGTCGTGCTACCAGACAGTTTTTTGGGCTGGTTGTAGAAAGAAATTGGAAAATATGTCTAGAGAAATCAAAGGAGAGGGAGTGCAGAGAAAAAGTAGCAAAATGCCGATGAGGTGAAAAAAGCGGAACACAAGAAGAAGCCCGTGTAGATTCACGGAAGATAAGTGATAAGCACAAATCTTATCAAGTAGTCCTGAGAAACATTAAGTTGGAGGGGAGAGGTCGTAGGATGGGCAATGAGAATAGAGATAATAATACTGTTGTCAGCTGATGGTGACTGGAAATGTCTACAGGGAATATACGGTTGAGCCAGGTTCACAAAGATAGTGGCTCTACAGGAGATTCGGTAACGGGTTGGCCGTGCTGAGCTGTGTTCAGTTAGCAGGTCGTAACGGCTCGGTCCGTATCTTAGCTGGACGGGAGCAAACCATGAGTTATCACATAACTGTCCAACCTCTTCTTCAAGGTGTAGGCAGACGGAGCAGTACTAATCTCTCCAGGTAATGCACTTCATTGGCCGCTAACTTGATGAGAGCAGAAGTACAAAGGCTCTCAGGTTGTCGCCCTTTGGTAGGTGATCCTCCTCGGGTTACCACGAGGATCACCACAGCGGCCGATCGGCAGAATCTACTGTTCGGTTGACTTGGATTACTTGGTACTTTACTAGCCACTATCAAGTCACCATGAAATCTATGGTGGCTAAGAGAGCACGGCCCCAGGCCTTTCAGTCTGTCCTCATAGGGTTTTAGCCTCTGTTACATCCTTTGTTACTCGCCTCTGGACTTTCTTCAGGATGTTCGCATCTCTTTTCAGGCGCGGTCGACCTCCAGGTGAGGCCACGTATAGGTCTTGTACAGCCTCATGAAGTATCTGAGAGTGAGGGAACCTAGTTGTCTGCACATGGATTGTAGTACTGTGTGGGCTCTGGGGGCGTCTCCGGATAATTGGAGCCAGGGACTAGCTTGTCAGTCAATATTAGTCCCGTTTCTTTCTCAGTGGTGGTGTAGAGATTTGCGCTCCGCAAAGAGAGTAGGGTGCCTTCTGAGAGTCACGGGGCGGCGGAGAAACATGGTTCAGCACTTATACGGAATAAATGCTTGTCCGTTATTATCCATCCACTCTGCAAGCAACCTGAGATCACTTTGCAGTGCATCTGATTCTGCTTCGGATGTCGCAGAACCTCCATAACCTAACGTAAAGTAGAAATGGGGAGCTGAGACTCAGTGGGAGGCCATTCACAAGGAAGAAATAGCAGCGGACCCAGAATCGCCCCTTGTGATGCGCCAAATGATGAGGTCCCTCAGGCCGCCCGGACGCCTGTTGGCCTTTGTGCATAATTCTCTACCGTCGAAGTAGTCCTGTAGCCAGGAGAGCACTTGATAGTTGGTATCCAACCTTGATATTTTGTAGATGAGAATGGTGTGCAGGGCTGCACTGAAGGCCCTATCAAAATCCAGGAGAGTAATATGAGCAAGGACCCAGATATCCCAACATGTCGTCCAGTTATCACCGGCCGCCAGAGGTTTCAGGAACAGTATCTTCCCTTTCGAAAACTATGTCGATTACCACTTAGCTCCCCCACTTGTCCAAGTGCTCTCTGATATGGTTGTCTACTGGCTCTTCACTTCTGACACCGCCGGCAGAAGTGCTATGGGTCATTAGCATCTAGGGTTCTGCCTATCTCCTCTTCGGAGGCGGGAGACAATACAGCATGTTCTCACTCTTGTGGAAGTATGTGTCTGTCCAAGGAGTGTTAAAACATATAACTGGGCCGACCGCATAAAGCGCCTAAGCATTGTTTCAATGCAGCCAGTCGGATGTCATCGAGTCACGGTGATTTCCCTACACGGACATTCGGCAGCTTTTCGAGGACCTTAGCGGGGGTTACCTTTATTTCAGGTAAATTTACTGAATTTAGTAGTGTCGAATGTTGTTTGGGCAGTTTACAATTTCCGTCGGATGATGATACGTTCAGTTGTGTGTCGAAGGCGGAAGTCATACACAGACATAGTAGAGGCGATGACAAGACGTTAGGCCCGGACAAATCATCGAACTGCACTCGAAGACGGGCACACGATCTCTCAAAAGCGATCTCACTGTCCACAGAAGTGGAAAGCCAGTCCCCACCTTACCCCGTCTCACAAGTCACCGCCAAACCAAGTGCTACGACATCGATCCAACAAAATACTGAAGACATTACTATGCCGTCACCACGCGTTACTCAGCCTATAAACATACCCAGAGCCGGCCACAAGCTCCCTGCTACCATGGGACCGTCCTGAAGCCTAGCACATAAACAATCTAATCTACTCCCACATCAACCAGTGCATAACTCATGTTCATCAGATGGGCAGATGATAAAGAGTACAGATAGCACTAGACACTCTTATACAAACTCCACCACGCACCCACCCAGGTTAATCAAATTTCCAAAAATTCAATTGAGCAGCCAAGCCAACAGGCAAAAAGGCAATACGAATAGCCAAAAGACCATTGCACCCTCACAAAGCCACACTAAAGAAAATGCCAAACGTCATTTCTCAGTTCATCCTATGGCCAAGCCAAATAACTACTGTCCAGGCGATCCACATTTATTAGCATTTCTGCGGTCACTAGCAGACACACCACGGCCAGACCCCTCAACGGTCACAGTTATTGGATAGCGAGCCGAATGGTGGTCACAGACTATGCTCTCCGCTTCACCCATATGGCGCAGAACGTGGGTCATATGCCACCCGGGACAAACTTAAAATAGGTCCCCTGAAGAAAAACCTGGTAAATGTGAAGTTTGATATGATCATAATGTATGCGACAGCCAGAGGACAGGTATGCCATACAATCAGTCCCCTTTACTTCTTACGAAAAGGGTTTTTTCGGACAGCCTACAGCTGCAACGCCACCGGTAATGCAGGTGATTCAAATGCTATTGGATCGTCTGCTCTCTATCTTGACCAACAGTCTGTATACCAATCACAATGTGGTGAATGCCTCTCTCCGCTCCAGGCAAATAGTACCGAATCATCACCCTGTACAAAAGGTCATGACATCGCTAGCACGATACACACAAAGGACCCACAAGGAATGTACAGAAGCGCTGACTTTTTCGAGATATATCCGAACACTTTTGCGCTTTTAACTAGCTCTCGTTTCGCCTGATTAATGCCAGCCCTATACGCAACAAAATGAAAGTTTATACTGTTATCTCTGATATGTGATCCGTCTGTGATAATGGTCACAGAAGCATGGTGTGCCTCTGATATTTGTGACACAGAGATCTCCGTCGACAACTGTTCATTGTTCAGGAGGGATGGACCACATAGTGAGGGAGGAGGGTGCATTTTCTACATGAAGTCCAACGTCATTGCTACTCAGAGCCCAACCTCTGAGCTCAACGAGATTGACGACAGAGTATAGGTTATCGCCAAACTTACTTGCTCCACATCCCTCCCAATAAGACGCATTCACCGACCCCTTGCCCCTCAGTCTAACACGACAAGAAGATAACAAGCGTGTTCGCTTGTGTGGCATCGCTAATACACAGCGAAAATTGTATGTGGTGATTTTAACATAACAGATATAACGTGGCAACCAAGCAGCTATCCAAAGCACTTTGATAAGTTTACAATCATTCGTGAAACAGAGGTTGGCAACAACATGTGGAACACCCTACCAGGTACAATAGTGTTCTGGACTTAATCTTCACAAACTTAACCACACCCACAAAACCCCAAGTAGGTACACAATTTCCAGGTAGCGATCACAAGATAGTATATGAATACTTCAACGTATCGGGCACAAAATTAGCCCAAAGTCAGGAACAGCTCTAACTCGAAACAACAAGTATGCCAAATAGGAAGAACCACAATCGTTTCTGCGCTGCCCAGATTGGAGCCCCTACCTTACCAACAGTTCAGCCAAAGAACTCTGTGATCTGT